TGGTTCCACAATGGTCCCACAATGGTCCCACAATGGTCCCACAATGGACCCACAGTGGTTCCATAATGGTCCCACAGTGATCCTGCAATGGTCCCGCCACAGTGGTCCTGCAATGGACTCACAATGGTGCCACAATGGTGCCACAATGGTGCCACAATGGTCCCACAGTGGTCCCGCAACGGGCCTGCAATGGACCTACAATGGTCTCACAATGGTTGCACAATGATCCTACAGTGGTCCGGCAAAGGTCCGGCAATGGTCCCACAACAGTCCCACAATGGTCCCACAGTGGTCCCACAATGGTCCTCAAGAGAAAATTTCCTTGGTGGATACAGCCGCAAGTCCCACAATAAGTCCCACACTAACTTGCACCCTAAGTTGCACAATGGTCCCTCTGTGGATACAGCCCCAGAGAAGTTTCCATTGGTGCAATAAGTCCCACAACAGATGAGCACGCATCAATACACCCATACAGTGTCCACTGATGAGAGATGAGTATGGGAACACAGCAAGGAACAAGGCATGCTTACACTAGGTTTAACTCAGCTATATTCTTCACCATTCACTATCTACCTACCACTACTCCTAAAAGCCTATACACGTCACCCCTGCAAGCATCACTAGATGGGAGGCGCAGCTACTGGCAAAATGCTCGGTCTTTGCATTAGCCGGCCAACCCCACCAGCGGCCCCACCCTACTCCCTGACCACCGCCGATTAGGACAGGGGACAACATGCATCCCCTTAATTGAGAGAGTAGTGCAGTTCACGTTTGCATACCATTTTTTTTTTATTTTTTTTTTAAAGAGAGTTTACATACCAATTAAGCACTTCAAAGTGAAGGTCGAAGAATGGCATCTGCGTCAAGATGCAGTAACAGCGAGGCGCAGACACGAGAAATCGACTCATTGGAGCCCGGACGGGTGAATGCTTGTAGTTGAGAGTCATAACCCTTGGCGGTCGTTGAAGTATCTCGTCCACGACCACACAGACTCCATAAAGCGTCACATTGTCTGCAACCTACCCACAATTGTGCATTGAAGACACACACATGCGTGTTAGCAAACCCGATGCCCCAATAGGAGTGCACGCGTGGCCACCTCAGCAAGTCCTCATGCCACAAACGACTATATCTACAACCTACCCACAGTTTAGAACTCTTGCATGCGGACTAGTACATTGTCTGCAACCATGACCTGCCCGTGAGGATTGTAGTACATATCGGTGCAGATATGTACTACTATCCGCACGGACATGTACTACTATACGCACGGACATGTACTCCTATCCGCATGGACATGTACTACTATCCGCACGGATACGTACTACTATTCGCACCGATATGTACTATTTGCACGGATATGTAGTATCTGCAAGGATTAGCAGCAGTATCCGGGCAAGGATATGTACTATGCGCACTGATGTGTTAGCAAACGTTTTCTTTTCGTTTTTTCAACTCAATGTCCTTATTATCCACCAAGCTACTGCAAAACCAGAGAAAGATTTAAAAAAAAAAAAAAAAAAAAAAAAAGCTCTGCAAAGGACCAAAGGTAAGGCACAGAATTCTCAGAAAGTTAACAGAAACTTTCCACAAATTGTCAACCAGCGGAGTGAATGCCAAGGCTCGAATGATTGAATGCCTTCGCCGGCGACCGTTGCAGGCGGGTCTTGCCATGACCTCTGTCAAGGGCCTTCCTCATACAGAGGTGGAGTGGAGTGGAGTAAACTCTCGGATCGGATACGCAATGCCTCACGGTCAGGGAGCAGCTGCACAACATTTGTGAGGGATGTCAGGCCTGCTTCCTGGCTTGTATAAAACAGGGAAAAGAAAAAGAAAAAAAAAGCTGCAAAAGAAACAAACACACAAAAGTACCTTATACTAGGCTTATAGCCCAATTGAATCAGAAAAGAGTCAAAAGAGAGCGAGAAAAAAACCATCTTTGCCAGTCCTTCCCACATCCATAGAAATTGGAAAGATACAGAGCCCGATTGCATGCACAGCCTGTGCGAATGATGTCGCACACAAATTAAGAAAGGCTCCACATTATTTAAAAGAAAAGAAAAGAAAAAAACTGTGCCTCAGCCTGTGAAGTCATGCAAGGATTCTTACAGCTAAGCTGGTGAAGCAGAGAGCAGCACCAACGATTCACCATGCCACCGGCCCGATTTTTTTCATTTTTTGCAAATTTGTGCCAAAAAAGAAAAAGAAATGCAAAAAACAAAAAAGAAGGCCCGAGTTCTCCGTTTTTCGCAAATTTGTTCCACACACATCGATGGGATGAAGAGCCAACGATTCACAAAGCCACCGGGACACCCCCCCCCCCTCTACTACGCCAATTTTAGTAGGAAGCAAAGATGGTGAAACAAAAGAAGATCAGATATGCGAAGGAAGATAGTCAGCATACGAACCGAAAGTCGTAAGAACGGAAGTTCTCTAGGGCATACTGACACTAGGCCTTTTTTTTCTTTTTTCTGGACATAATTTTGGACAGGCGAATGCAGGTCCGGCTGTGAATGCGCTCCGATATATTTATGACAGACGGGTACCGTCTTCCCCCAAACACAACATACCCTCATTGTGCCTGCATCCAACCGCATAGATCGCCTGTATGCATTAAGAATCAGGGTGCATTATTATGTTCAGGGGAAGATGGTAGTTTAAGTAAACCCTTATTAAAATGGTATCCCTACTGTCTTTTAATGAGAGGGCCTCACATGACTCATTATGACCATATCCAACGCAACCTCATCATAACTGCATTCGAAGGGAAAGACGATGGTGTAAGTACACGCGTATTGAAATGGCAGCACAACTCTGTATTTTAATGAGATGGCCTCACGTCGAGTCACGCCATCAAATGAACATCTTCTTCATAAGAGGAGTGCAACATTACGTTCGTAATAGGCAACTCCAATCGCATAAATTCTTTTTTTTTTTTTTTTTTTTTTTTTTAAATACCACTACCTCCGAGCCTCTATTTGCCAAGGCACAAAAGAACTGCGCGCTAGCTTTGCTCAAGCGCCAGCACGACTTTTTCTTTTTTTTCGCTGGCGCCGCCAGCCATTCTGGTCCAGTGGCGCCGGACACTCGGAAAAATGTGGTACAGGTTATACCGCATTCTTAGGAGGTTTCGAGTTTGCCTGTGAAAGGGTAGTCAGGGTTTTACAACACAAGTTTAAGAGGAAGATGATCACCAAATTGACGCCTTTCTATGAACATTAACAAATGCATTTTGTCACCTTTCATGGGTAGATGCACTTGTTTCATTTTCATTTCGTGTACAGTGCAGCACACCTGTTCCAGTTTTAGTCGATATCACAAGGGATAGACTGGACATCACTTTAATTTCGTGTTTCTCATATAGTTTTTCGTCAATTAGGGTGTCACCGCACCGCACATGAAACGGCAAACGAAAACGAGTGCATCTTCCCACAGAAAATGCACACACGGCAAATGAAAACGAGTGCATCTTCCCACAGAAAATGAACAGGTTCATCCGCTTGCTATAAGTAACAAATGCATTTTGTCACCGTTCACGGGAAGATGCACTCGTTTCGTTTTTGTTTCGTGTGCCATGGCGAGGCCCTTAGCATCCACAAAGGTCAAATGATCAAATCAACGAGATGCACTCATTCAGAGTATGCAGCCGCTCACACCAACTAATATCCTCCTTGGAATATATATATATATATATATATATATATATCGTCAAATAGAATATATATATATATACATATATATCGTCAAATAGATATATACATATATATATATATATCGTCAAATAGAACTGCCCGGTAAACCGTAGGCAGAGAGGTAGAAGAGGACAACAAACGAGGGGCTGTGACAAACTGTTTCGTCGGAGTTTCACCGACTCATCTATATATATATATATAAATCCTCCTGAACACAGCAATCAAAATCCTGAAATCAACAAGTGGAACCCACCTTCAATAAGAAGACAAAGGACTGATCGTCCCGGTTCTGATGAGGCTGCAACGGAAACACAACCAATGAAAAGACGAGCACTCCAAATCAGACAGTCTGTCTTTGTACTCCTCACTAAGACTTTTTCTTCCTCATTCTCTCTTTTTTTTTTGGTTGAGGGGGGGGGGGCACGGGGAGGGTGTCATGATGGTGGGCAGGTTCCATGGCTTTAAATGAACTTCGCAGTTTTTGATCCTTCTGATCCTATTTTAGATCCTATGTGGCGCCAACGAATGTTTGTAATTCCTTTTATGACTCACTCATCTAGGAAATACAAAATCACGAGGAGGCTGGAGTATTAGGGCCCAGTTGCACTACTCGCCATCCGCCAACATTCTGAATGCATCCGGACAGGAAAGCTGTCCATGTGCATTCGGAATGTTGCCGGATGGCGAGTAGTGCAACTAGGCCCTTACTGGCGAGACTATTACAAATCCAGGTATATGGAGTTACGAAGGAGTTCCAGCTGTTCACATTCTATTGTCAGGGCTACTTTTTTTAGCAGCAATATGGCATTGGGTATATTGGGATTTAGAACTTTTTAGAGATGAACGTACAGGAAAACCTGTTTTTATTTTATTTTTTTTTGGGGGGGGGGGGCGGTAAGGATGGGGGTGGTCTCGGCCACCTCGGCTATGGCGCATCAGGTCCTGCATGCAATGGCGCACGTGGAAGGGTACCAGCTCCGATACCAATGCAATCAGACTCGTTTTCAAACACACTTTTCATGCATGTAAACAGCAACGCAGCATACTGGCGACATGCGCCCACTCAAAACTCAGAGATATGGCTTTCAGATACGAGTTCACTCT